TTTAAGCCTGGCCAAATTAATTTTAGGTGTCAACAAATGCCCCCCACAATTTGGTTTATAGGAATTATGAATCAAATTGTTGACAAAATAGTATAACACCTAAAAACTTGGCTCCAAGTGTTAAACAAAATAAACACGTAGGCCAAAGTTAGCAATGAAGTCTTTAATTACCACTTATATAATCCTCATGCATGGCCAAATGATTTTGGCCACCAGTATTGCGGCTAATTACAACAACGCGGCCAAACTTTTCCTTTTTTTTTCCTTCTACCAGCGCTGCAAGCATTAATTAATAACAATAATATATATATATATATATATTTTTTTTTATATTATTGTTGGCGGCCCTCCTTTTTATTTTTCACCAAATTTTTTTTTTTATTCTGAGCTGTTAGCCCACAGCGGCAGCTCTGCCAAAATTTTTTTTTTTTTCCGGGCTGTTGGGAACAGCCGCAGGACTGGGAAATTTTTTTTTTCCTCCTCTTTCACGCCTGGGGAAACAGCGGCAACGCTGCATGAATTTTTTTTTTTATTTCAGGGCTGCTGGGAACAGCCGCAGGGCTGGGAATTTTTTTTTTTTTTTGGTACAGGCCTGTTTTGGCAAAGCCGTGAGAGTTTTTTTTTATCTACCGGAGTTGTCAAAAAACGGCCACAACCCACAACGCTGAGACTTTCTCTCTTTTTCTTATCATCAGCGCTGTTAGCAACAGCGGCAGCTCTGCATGCCAAATTCTTTTTTTTTATATTATTATTATTATTATTTGGCCGAGAATATGCTCTTTTCTTTCCTCCAAGCCACAACAAAGTTGTTGCTAAAAGAGAATACAACAGCCATGCCACAAACAACTTCGCTTGCTAGCTTAGGTAAAAACAAGCATAATTGGTCCGGCCCTTCTTTCGTCTTATGTGACCATTGTCAACGAAAATTACAGGGTAAAGCTTTTTACTCTATGTCGATGTTTTGGCTATCTTGTCAACATCGTAAACACTGGCCAACCATATCAAACAACTTTGACCAAAAACTCAAACCATATAACATAACAAGCCACAACTTCACTCCAACGGCGGTGATTTTGTTGTTGCAACGCCGGTAGTGCCTATATAGCTCAATCCTTCACTTATTGGATAATCTAACATAAAAATCAATAAATTGTCTAGCTAGCAAGACTGCAACATGCACATGCAATATTTCATGACATTCACACGTAACACAATCTTTGAAGCCAATCAGAAGCAGAGTTAACTCGTACCTGTAAGATTCATGCAAGATGGCACTATGAAAGTTGAACGTTGATCCTCCTTCGCACCAAGGTAGATTTCTTCTACAATATCGGCAACACTGCTTCCTTTCCCACCTCGTTACTCGAATCGTCGCCGTTGATCGGCAACCCCTCCAGCAAGGTCGTAATTTCGGCCTTCGTCACCCTCTCTTGAGGTGGCTTACTCAGATTTTGGTGGACCACCTAATGCAAGCATTGATGGTCTCACAATCTCGGACAATGAGTTCAAGCACGCCTTACCCAACACATTTGTGCTTGAAACTGCGACGTTGCATGGTCCCCCTTCCATACTCTTAATTTTTTGAGAACCAAGGTATTTGTGGTACAAAAGAGCTTCGACAATGTTGCCCCCCGCAATGTTGACCATATTGACGCCCACACCGTTGGGAAACGGGTCAGTGTCAACAATCATGGCCTCCTTCCTCGGCTCCGGTACCTTGAACCGACCTTTTTCAATAGCATCCTGCACCACGTTTCGAAACACTACACACATATTAGTTGAGTGAGACACATTGTTGTGCCACTTAAAGTAGCGCTTTCCTCTTAATTTTTCAGTTGGCGGGATAGTATGCCCCCCAGTTAACTTAATTTGACCATCTTTGTAAAGTTGGTCGAAAATCAATTCTGATTTTGAAACATCAAAGGAATATTTCCTAGTTTGAATTGGGGCACGATTGGGCCTTCCACCTTGTGGTTCCCCTTCGGCCTTGGCTAGAGAAGCACACACATATGGCTTCCCCTGCACAATCTCGGCCAAATCAACCTCAACCTCGTCAACATCACTGCCGACGTTATTCACACCAAAGTTTTCAAAATTAGCGAAATATTGTCCACGAGAGCCACTCCTCTTATGTTCTTCTTCACGAAGAAGAGATTCATATCTAACAGCGCAGGACATCAATTGAAACAGATCGGAGAACTCCCTATCTTGAAACTTTTTACGAAGTTCAAAATTCAATCCACCCTGGGCCAGTTTAACAAACTCGCGTTCTGTCAAGTTTACAAAACAGCGATTTCTTGCATTTTTAAAGTTTGTTAAAAAGTGTTCCACTGTTTCTCCTGGTTGTTGGCGCATTCGTGCCAAGTCTGCCATTGTTACTTCTGGTTCAGAACGGTAGAACTGGGCATGGAACATTTGTTCCATTTGCTGCCAAGTTTGAACCGAGTTCGATGGCAAGTTGACGTACCATGCGAATGCAGGGCCGGTCAACGAGTTGCCAAACAAACGCAACTTCAAGAAATCACTCACATCACCACACTGAACCGTGAATCGTCCAACATGCTCGACGGTGGACTGATCCCCAGTCCCGCTGAAGGTGATGAAATCAGGCACGCGAAAACCACGTGGAAAGGGGTAGTATCTATCAACCCAATCCGGATATGGTTTTCGATACACTGGCGGCATCGCTGGTCTAATCCCTAAACAAAACTGATCTGCCAGCATCTGTGCTACTTGATCTCGAATCGCATTAACGTCTTGCCCCCCGAGTTGCCCCCCTTGTGGTACGAATCCACCAGGATCCATGCCAAGCCTGTTTGGAGGAGGAGGCACGTTTTGTGGGTAGCCGCGTGGCGGAACATGATCATTGTTGATCGTTCCACCACCACCAGCACCGCTCATCGGAGCCACGTAGGGTCTGGCCTCCGGAATATTTTGTGGACCCACATTGTGCACTGGTGGCGGCTCAACACGAGTGTTCGCCGCAGTGCTGGTCTCGCCAGGATTTACTCTCGACGGACTTGTTGGGTTCACCACCGGTGTTGGCGAAACGCCATGTCTCGGCTGAGCATCTCGGCCGCCATTGACCGGAAAGCTATTGGTGCCAGTGTCGTTGTGTAACGGATTCTCGCCGCTTAACGGCAAAGCCCTTGTTTGCGGCACTGGCCTATTCAAAAACTCTCTAAAATCATTAAAATCACGTCTGTTACTTTCAAAATCCATTCTGTTTTTATCTACGACTTCAACCAGTTGGCTAACACGTCTATCAATCCGAGAACTAAGACCATCAAGACGTCCATCCAAAGAGGCTAAGTGAAGTTTTACCTGTTGGTTATCAGCCATGACTTGGCGAACCATGCGTGTTATCTCACCCTGGTTGGCAGTTTGCGCCACTGCTGGCACTTCCCCTCCGGCGTCGTTGCTCGAACCGCCGTGTGAACCGTCACTCTGGTCAGTCTCTACATTGACCATTGGCTCTTCCTCCACTGAAGTTGGTGGAAGATCGCCCTCGTGATTCTTCCTTCGCGGAGCCATCCGAACACACGTGTCCCACCAGGTGTGCCAATTTGTTTCGTTGGCGAAACTCGCGCGTTCAATGCGCTCTGATTTCAAGGAAACAAAAACCCAAAGTCAGCAAAAATCGTCAAATATCCGCCACCGAATGTCGGCGCCGTTGATTTGATCGATTAAACAGAAACCAAGATGACTGTCAAATATCCACCGCCGGTGTCGGCGATGTTGATTCGATCAATACACCTTTGACTTCTAATCAAACAACCGTTACTCGGTTCACCACCTCTCCAAACTATGTTCGAACGAGGGTGTTCAACGGGAAACGAGAAACCAAACCGAGAGTGTTCTAAGTTACGTTACCTCTACTCCTATGGAGGTTCCTCTGGAGAGCTCCGCAACTACGACTACAAGCTACGACTCTGCAAAGGAGTTCTTTGACAGAGCGGTTCTACCAAACTAGAGAGAAAAAAGATAAATCTGCGTAGGTGCAGTTTGTGATTTGATTTTGCCGTCTCTAACTTCTCTCTCTTCCCAATCTTTATACTTCGCGCTTCTCCTCGTCGTAGTAACCGCCTTCGCGCCTTTGTCTCCCACGTCTTCACTCCTGTCAACCGTGCAGGCAACTTCCTCCTTGTTGCGTAACTCCCACGAGTGCGAAACCGCTTGAGCACGTGGCAACTTGGTCCAAAACGTCACTGAGCCAAAATCCACCATTGCTGAACTCTGAGGTTGTTTTTAATTAAACAACATCGTTTCAGTACCGCGACGGTGTCGACCTCCCACGATGTCGTTTTCGGCTAAAGCGACACCGTCTTACCTTATCCTTAAAATATTAATTAATTAAACCGGCCATCATTGTTGGCACGCTGTCAAACTCTCACTCCGCGGCGCCGTTCTTAACTAAACAGCATCGTTTGTTTAACGCTGTCGTTTTAACAACTGCGGCATCGTTTGGCCCACTCGCGGCATCGTCTTTAAATCCGCGGTGTCGTTCCTTCTTCTTGCGGCATCGTTTTAACTAACGACACCGTGCTAAAAACTCATTAAAATATTAATTAACTAATTTGGCCATCACTAGTCCACGACCAACGACATCGTTAGCGCCAAAACGGCTCCGTTTGTTTTTCCTTTTGCGACATTGTTTTTTATTAAACACTGTCGTTTGCTTGCGGTACCGTTGGGCTTCCTCGCAGTATTGTTTTTAATTCCGCGGCACCGTTTTAGCTCCCCTCAGTGCCGCTTCTTCCAATCCAACAAGGAATAAAAATAATAATTAATTAGAGAAAACTCCTTCTCCAATACCCACGCGCGGCCCTCTTGTTTTTTGGTAAGCGGTGTCGTTTGCAGTACCGCGGCACCGCTGAGCTTCCTTGCGGTACCGTTTTAGTTCTCCGCGACGCCGCTCGACTTCCAACGATACCGTTTTTTACGCGCGGTATTGACTTAAATGCCGAGACTAATTAATGCGGCATTTAAGCCTGACCAAATTAATTTTAGGTGTCAACAGCGAGCTACATATCAAAATATCGATATACGACGACGACGACGATGATATGCAGGGAGAGGAGAATGTTGGCAGTGGCTGTTGCTACGTGTAAAGTAGTGATAATACTTGGAGCTCTGCTGCTGCAGATTGCTCGATCTCAATCACCGGTTGAGCGGTCGGACCACAAGTGCGGCCAATACGCCGACGGCACATGGGCTCTTTGCGACCCGGGACGATGTTGCAGTACCCAATTCTACTGCGGCGACAATGTCATCACGTTCCTTTTCCTTCGAGAAGTGATCATGGAGTAGCTCATGAAACGGCAGAAGGAGAAGTACTCATCGCACCTCTTCAACTTAACGATACGCTTCATAACCGCTATTTGAATGGTGATCTTGATGATAATGATGATCTCGTGGAAGTGCGGCCCGCCAATGCTTCTTCTTCTTCTTCTTCTTCTTCTTTCTCGTCACCGTTATCGTGTGCAGCTTCTCTCTCCCGCCTGCCTCTAGCTTCTCGTCACAAGTATCCTCTTGCTGCTCTACGCGCCCCGCGGTCTCAAAACATTAATGCTTCCGCTACTCACTGCGGACGTTGTTTGAAGGTAATTGCGGTCAAACTCGTTCTACCTTTCTTGATCCACGAATCGTACACATATATATTTGAAGTTGCAGGACTCGTACATTCAATTTCTACTATGTACTACTGCTTAAATCTATTATGTTTCTCCTCTATTGCGTTTGTGTTTTTATGAACTAGAGCAAACAAAAACTTGAGTTTTATACGGCGTATAATACAGGTCACAAGTTTTGGAGTTGGAGGACTTCCTAATCAAGTGAAGGTCCGCATTGCTCACGAGCATACCAACGCGGAGGGACTTGAATTGGATTTCAATACTTTCAGACAACTCGATACAGATGACAATGGAATTATTAAAGATTTAGATCATATTTTGGTGAAGTATCAGTTTGTTGGCTGTTAAAAGGCATGTACGTGTACGTTTGTCAGCAATGTGCAAGTACTCATAAAATATTTATAAGGAAAGAAACTACTCATAAAATAAAAGCAAATAATAAGATAACAGTAACTACATTATATTTGTAGTTTATTTAATAATAAGATAACAGTAACTACATTATATTTGTAGTTTATTTGTCTGGTTGTAATCTACACAATATATAATAGCAGGAAGGAGAAACTGTTGCTCTATTTCAAATTTCCTGCAACGAGAGTAAAAGTATGAAGGACATTTTGGTCTTCAAAATTACCTTTTTTCTTATCATTAAAAAGACACGTACAGGGATTCGAACCATGACATCGCACTAAGTACATTTGTTGTATCTTTTTAAATTAAAAACATACAATAGCGGGGAGGAAAAAACCCTTCCCTCATTTCAAATTCGCTAATCCAGAAGCGTTTGTAGGAAGGATAGAATAGGGAGTGTCAATTTTTTTCTCTTTCCTCTGTGGAACGGGCCAACTTACCGTAAACATGTGGATTTAAACGGGTTCATGAGTTTTAATTTTTTTCTGTAACCCCTTTTATTTCTCTGTGGTGGTAATGTATATATGAAAAGGCAAAAACAATACTCATTTTTATTACTAAAAAGAAAAAAAATTAACAATAAACTAATGCATGGATTCTAATGGGCTAACCGCTAACCATAAAATAATAGAGTTGAATGGGTCTGACCTACACAGGATTTGGCCATCAAGTAAAACAAATGAACATCATGAGTTTGTCATTCTGAAACAAGCTATTTTCTCTAGCATAATATATATTATGCTATTATTTTATATCTAAGTGGCTAAAATATAATGCATTTTAAAGTTATTCAATGGTTCAACCTCGACCGACCCAATTAGTCCAATTTTTATCATAATGATTAAATTATAGTGTATTTTATAGGGAATCGTTTGGGATTTGTTAGTAAAAAACTAAACAGAAAAATCTATTTGGTTATTTTTAACATTAAAACGACCCTAAACATTTTCAGTTTCCTTTCGAATTTCTATGGTTTTATTCTCGAATCAGTGATGTGCAAATTGCGAATTGCAGTCATCTCTTTTCTTTCACTATTTTTTTATTTTCAAATAGAAAGTTTAAAAGTAAAGAATAATTAGAGTTTGGCATGGGTCGGTCAAACATGTTGAATTTCAAGTATTGACCCGTTTTCATCAAGTCTAATTTATAATCGCATGGTTTCCTGATACCCGATAAAAATCTCAATCCAAACCAGTTTGGCAGGTGAGTCCGTGTTTATCACAATTTTCTTGGGATACAGGAACGGCGGTTCCTATCTCAACTCGTGCTATTCGTTCTTGATTTCTTTAGATCATGGCCTGACAAAAACTAAAAAGCACAATGACGATAAGATGAAAGTTTTATAAAGCAAATTAATCGGCCAACGTGCAGAGTAAAAGCTAGCAACGATTGTGAGATGCTCATTTCCCGAAATCCAAAGGGATAGGCGATTTTTTATTCGATTTTCTGGAATTTGGTTTCTATAAAACTTACTCCACCTCATCATATTAACAGAAAAAATATTATTTCACAAGGTAACATGTACTTGATTTTGATTCATAAGGCTGATTTATGATTCGTTGCATCATTAATGTCTCTTTTCTGCTAAAATTCACTATTTTTATCATGTGTTAAAAAAAACTATATAGAGGAGAGGATGATGGGAAAAACTCAATCAACTCATTTTATTTTTACTTTTCGCTGGTTTAACAGGAAAGGAGATAGACATATATAATCAAAATCTATAAATGACGAAAATTTCTTCAAAAATTATTTAAAAAGTTTTGCAAACCCTGCCAAAAATGAATCAGCTCGAGTTAGGAGTTACCATGTCAACTTTACCCAACAAAGCTGTGTTGGTCCATTCGAACCTCCTGAAACTGACCATCACAATTCACAAACAACGACGCGCCTTAACAAGCAAGTTGGGACAATAATTCATACAACTCACCTCCATGCCATACACCAACCACAACTTTTATCCTCCATATGCCATACACCAACAACAACTAAAATTTATTTCAACTTCTAGTGGCATTTCTTTCTTCCACTCAATTATGGATATCAATTGGGTGGTTGCATTGCTTGTGGGAAATTCAAAGACAGTTTCTCTATGTGATGAACCTCTCGAATCAACTTCCGGCGACTGACAACATTCCTTCAGGGCGTCCACCGGACGACGGCCTTTCTGTGGCGTCATAAAATAGTCCGGCGCCGGTGGAGGCACCTGGCATGGTATCGGGGGAAAGGATCGAACCAGTAGGGTCTGGTACAGAGAATATGATCGTAGATGAGCAATCGAAAGCGCTTTCCCTAACCCAACAACCTTCATCTCCACCGATATCTTATGTGAAGCCGGTGATCGGGCAAAGCACGGCGGCCTCCACCGCCATGACCACCTGGACGCCAGTTGGTGAGCACGATCTGATTGCCAGCACTTTCAATGCGGAGCCGGAACTGAAGGTCTCCCCGACTTTCAAAGAAAAGTTGTGTATTCCTTAGCAACGCACTCTAGTTGTCTGAGCGGTTGGGCTAGACATCTCATACATCACTTTTTGCAACAAGATCAAAGCCTTGTGGAGGTCAACAGGATCACTAGAAATCATGGCTCTGGGACAGAGATGCTTCCTCGTGAAGATCAGCAACGATACCGACTACTTTAGAGCTCTGACGGAGGGCCCCTGGGTGATTTTCGATCATTATTTGGTTGTTCATTAATGGACATCAGCCTTCCGTTTGTCGGATGAGCTGCCAAAATCCATGGTGGTGTGGGTTCAGCTGCCAGCGTTCCCCATTCATTTCTATCACAAGGAAATCCTCTTCTCACTGTGGAACATGTTAGACAGAGCCATCAAGCTGGACTATCACACTCTCCATCAACAAAGAGTCAAGTTTGCTTCGAATGAAGTAAGATCGGGCATCGGCTTCCAACTACCTTGTTCTCAATCCGAGTGCTCATACTAATCTCTCCGGTGTCGAGGTTTTCTCATCGAAATCTGGGTCGGAGGCCGCGATGGGGGAGAGAGCCGGCTTCGGCCCGTGGATGCAGGTAACACGTCGATCACGGCGGGGAACTCGCGCTGCAGAAAATGGTAACCCTACCTAGAATCAAGGCGAGACAGCTCCCATCAGGAAAACCGACACATGAAAGAGTACTCAGAAATATATGGAAATCCTCAACGACACGAGTGTAGGTCAAAAGGAAACCGGGCTGCTAAAAGGGGAAGTTCAAAAAGGGGAAGTTCGGATAAGGGGAAAGCAAAGATGGGCACACAAAAGGAGACTGATAGAAACGGCCAGGGCACCATCAGTGCGGGGCAGAAGGGAAAAGGAATCCTTAGGCCACAACCTTTGTGGACCAACAACATGTTGGGTGGGCCCAAAACAGGGAAGAATGGAGCAGAGAAGGTCTCAACGAGCAGTGCAGGAGTTCATGCTGGGCCGGGTTCCCACACGAACTCAGCTACACCAAACAATATTAAGAAAGGAGTTTCGGCCCCTACCCCCTGCAACTGTCTACCATCCATATAGTTACTATCTTGCAATACGAAAAACAAAAAAAAGGATCACGATCTAACGGCTCCGTCGACGGCAACCAGAACAAAAAGCAAAAAGTCCGACAAGAAGAAGAGATCCCCCAAAGAAATCTCCCAAGACGATTGCCGCGAAAGCCCTCCAGATCTGGACGCCGGTCAAGGAAAGGAAAAACAAAGCAAGAAAACACCTCGCCTCCCTTACCTGAGATTGCAGCATGGACCAGTGCAGCAAAGCCTCCCCAGCCATCGGACGCTCAAGGACTGAACAGTCAACAAAAACCCGATAATCAAGAGATGGAGGGCCCTTCGGCGGCGCCGCATGCTCAGACCTAATGTTGCCTCTCTCCCGCTAATTTCTCTTTCTTCCTCTCCTTTCTTCTAGTGTTGTTTATTTCCCATGTCTAGTAGTCCCTGTACTAATTACAAAATCTTGTCCTGGAATGTAGGAGGGGCAGGAAGTAAGGCGTTTATTCGAACGCTCAAGCTTATGGTGGAAAATCAGAAACCAGACTTTTTGATTCTTTTAGAGTTGCAGATCAGCGGGGAGGTGGCTGGTCGGTTTTGTGGAAAGCTTGGATTCCAAACTTTCTGTGGGTGGAGGCTGAGGGTAGGAAAGGCGGGATTTGGGTCGGATGGAATGCTGCTCGCTATTAGGTGGAAGTAATGCCTGCGTGCTTCCGGCACTTGACTGTGAGGGTCTCTTCGGGTTTAGCTCCTCTCTGGCTGCTCACTGCTGGGTATGCGAGCCCCAGACAGAGTCTTCAACACCATTTATGGGAGAATATCCATAAGACTCGAGAGATGGGTGATTTTCCTTGGCTTCTGACCGGAGATTTTAATGCTATCCGAGAGCCTCATGAGAAAGCAGGTCGTGCCACTGCTAGCACCTTTAGCCGCTGCCGACGTTTCAATAATAGGATCAACCAGGCTGAGCTTATTGACCTGGGTTTCTCCGGATCATGTTTTACGTGGACCAGAGGGGATTTGCCTAATTCCTATAAAGCGAGGAGAATAGATAGAAGTCTGTGTAACTCGCTCTGGAATAATGCCTTCCCGAACACCTCGGTTCAGCATCTCCCTCGGATTCATTCGGATCACCATCCTGTCCTAACTACTACAGGAAACCAGGGAGTCCCTTTTAATCCTCGCCCTTTTAAATTTGAAGGAGCTTGGCTCTCCCATGAATCTTATGATGATATGTTGGCAGGTAACTGGGATACTCAAGCCCCTCTCCCAGAGGCCCTCCACGGCTTGCCGGAAAAGCTTATATCTTGGAACCAAACCACTTTTGGGAACATCTTCCGCAAGAAAAGAAGACTTCTAAATCGCATCCGGGGAACCCAAAGTCAGTTGTCCAATGTTTTCTCCCCAGGGCTTTTTAAACTGCAGCCAAAGCTGGAAGCTGAGCTGGATAGAGTGCTCGAGCAAGAGGAAATGCTTTGGTTCCAACGAGCAAGGGAAAAATGGGTGCAGTTCGGCGAAAGGAACACCTCCTACTTTCATCAACATGCCAACATCCGGCGGAGGAGGAACAAGATCGAGTGTCTCAAAACAGCAAATGGAGACTGGATCTCAGACCCCCAGGCTCTCGCTTTGCTTGTTTTTGACTTTTTTGCAGCCTTATACTTGCAGGACAGCCATGATTACACTGATCACATGCCAAAGCAAGCGTTCCCAAGGATCTCCCAGGAGGACCTTCTCCTCCTCCTGCGCCCTTTCAACGGGGATGACATCTGCAAAGTTGATCACGAGATGAAACCGTTCCAAGCTCCGAGGCTGGATGGCTTTCATGCAGCCTTCTTTCGACGGTCATGGCAGGTGGTGGGTAGTAAGTTGATTGACATGGCGATGAATTTCTTTTCCACAAGTACTCTCCCGGAGAAGGTGGTGGAGTCTACTATAGTGCTGATACCGAAAGTTGAGAACCCAAAGATGGTCTCTCAACTGCGGCCTATCTCACTCAACAATGTGTGCCTTAAAGCCATCACAAAGGCCATCACCAACTACCTTAAGCCCATTATGAGAAAGCTGGTCCCTCTCGTCAGAGCAGCTTTATCCCAGGAAGACAGACCACGGACAACATCATTGTGCTACAGGAAGTTCTTCACTCTCTCCGGAAATAGAAAGGCAGGAGGGGAGGGATGGTTCTCAAGATCGACCTTGAAAAGGCTTATGACAGGCTTCGCTGGGAATTTTTAAGAGACACTCTCATCCAGATAGGATTCCCGAGTTCCTGGATTAGTGGGATCATGTTTTGTGTAGAAAAAAATCGCATGCGCCTGCTCTGGAACGGAGAACTCTCAGAGCCAATCACGCCGACTAGAGGAGTCCGCCAGGACTTGGCTGCGAAATAAGCTGAAAACCCTAGGGGCATTTCGGTCTTTTGGAAAGATATATAAACGTCTTAAACGAAAAAAAACATAACCTAACCCTAATAGACCAAATCGACTGCCGCTCACCTCTCTCTCTCTCTCTCTCTCTCTCGTTCTTCTCTCAACTCTCTCTAAGTTTCGCCTCTCTTCTTCCCTCACAGAGAAAAGCGAAACCCTAGCCAAGCCTTGCCGTCGTAATCCTCGCCTCTCGAACTCTCTGTTTCTCACCTCTGCCTCAAGGAAATGAAAACCTGAAACTCACCACAAGCCGCCCACGGCCGCGACAAAACGATGACGAGATGACGGCCTGAATCGACTTCAATCGACTGGAGGCATGTCGATCCAGGTAGGGATTTTGCTTGCATGTTATTTTCTTTCTCTTTATTTGTTGATTTTAAGAAATTTTAGGGTTCTAATCGTTTTTTTATTTTGGACTTTCTTATGGTTTGGTTTCGGACCGTGGGAGAAGAAAATGGTTCGCTGGTGACTTAGAACTTTGATGACGTCGAGTACAGCCCTCACGCCAGCGGTAAGCTAACTCTGTTGTTGCATGTTTGGTTCTCTTGAGATTTTGACGATTTCTATTCTAATTTTGTTTTTTTATATTGTATTTTGATTTTTTTTTTTTGGATTCGACGAGGGGAGAATAAGGGCAACTTTGGCGGCTAGGGTCTCCGTCGGCAAGCCTTTGCCGGCGGTGGTGTGACAACGGCGACAGGTGATGTTTTGGTTTCTGTGATTTTTACTTTTGATTTATTATTCCTTTAATCGATTCTGACCTCTATTCTTTTTTTGACACAGGTTTTGAAAATTGGGCAGATCTAGGTAAGGATCATCCTAAACTGAGTTTAGTATGACTGGGGAGGTTAAACTAAAAAAAGCAAAGTATTGTGTTGTGGTTCAGAATTTCTTTACAGATCTGTGGTTTTCAATAAAAACTGGTTATGTATGAGTTCATATGATTCTGAAATGGTGTTTTTCGGACTACACTTAGCATGGTTAGGAGGTATAAATTCAGAAAGGGGATTTGCTTGTTATTGAGTTTTGAATCTGGTAGTTTTGATCCAAAACTTTTTGATAGAAAATGAGGCTTTTTGCGTATGTGCCTCTGATGACATACGGTTTTGGAGGCTTGGTTTAAAGCTTAAAATTTATGGATTTGCTTCTACCTAAACTAAGTAGTAAAAAATGGATCTTGGTGTAATGAAAATAGAGATGGCTACTTTTAACGTCTATGAATCGCCGGCACTGCTTGCGATTCTGCGAAATTGGTATGGGTTTTAAACTCTGAAATTTATTGTGCTTGAGTGATTTTTTTGGGATCTGGATTCAGGTTCATCCATGAACTTCTAAAAGTGGTTTTTGCTTCTAAAATATATATATATATATATATATATATATATGGTGGCGTCTTCGGTGCACTCACTTTTTTGGGTGCATTCAGTGCACTCGCTTCATAACCGTCATTTTAAACATGCGATTTATGTTAAAATGATGTCAATCATCACTTATGATGTGATGAACAATAAAGCACATTAATTTGCACAAAAACTATTGAAAATTTACTTTAATTTGAAGAATTTAGAGTTCAGAGATTTAGGATTAGGGTTAGGGTTTACAATTTGGGGTTTAGGACTAGAACTCAAAATTGGAGGTCTAGGGCTTAGGATAATCTGCTAATTAGTTGTTATTATATGTTATATAATCATATTACACTAATTCTACAAATTAAAATTCAAAATCCGACACCTTAAGACTAGTTTTTGAGTTGGGTGCATTGTACGCACTCATTTTTGTGAGTGCACCGAAGTAGTCACCATATATATATATATATATATATATGGTGGCTACTTCGGTGCACTCACTTTTTTGGGTGCATTCAGTGCACCCAACTCTAAAAGAGGTCATAATACATTGATTTTGAACTTTAATTGGTAGCATTAGTATAATATGAAGATATAACATAGAATCATAACTAATCAATCCATTACCCTAACCCGTTAACCTTCAATTTTGAATCCCAAACCAAAATCCCAAATTGTAAACCTAAACCCTAACCCTAAATCGCTAAACCCTAAATCCTTAAAATTAAAGTAAATCCAAAATAATTTTTGCACAAATTCATGTGTTTCTTGTTCATAATATCATAAGAGACAATCGATACCGTTTTGACATGAATCGCATGCTCGGAATGATAATTATGAGACAGGTGCATTGAATGCACCCAAAAAAGTGAGTGCACTGAAAACGTCACCATATATATATATATATATATATATATGCATGCTATCTAGTTGTACTTTAACTTGCCCATGTATGACTACGAATGAGGGAATCTAAGTATGGCAGAAAATTAACTCAAAACATCCACCACTACTCATAGTTAAGTCAATCAGCATAGTAGTAATAGCATAGACGAAGCTAATAATACGAGAGGAAAATGAAACTTTAATGGTAGAGCTTAATGAAGCTTATACGAGTAGATCTTGGTAAATGGAGTGCTTGAATGTAAAGAAGCTTGAAAGTAAAACACTAGATTGACGATTTTGACATTAAGGTGGTTGACTATAAACTTGACAAAATGAAATGAGATCTTATTAAGAAGGTAGCTGGGTATAAACACCAACCTGGTTGAAGCTTCTGGCCTAAGAATGACCTCCTTTTGCTTCTCTTCAAATATCTGGACTGAACTTCGTACAAAAGACGGATCGAAAATGAAAACAGGATGCTAGTGTTTCTCTTGAATATTTGTCTGTTTCTCTTAGTTGGAATCGTCCTCCCCCTATAACAAAGAGCCCCAAGAGCTCATTTATAGCAAAAAAGCTGTCCGACGTGTCTTTTCTTCATTGGTTGATTTTGAGGCCCATTGTGAGACCTCCACCACAGTTGGTCGGTTCTGCCTGGTCAGGATAGGGTTGGCACACAGTTTTAAGTTGGAATGGCAGGGCTGTTGGCTTGTATTTTGGGCCGACTTGGCTTTTGTTTGGGCTTGGAATGGGCTGGGATGGACTTGAATTTGGGCTTAAAAATCTGGAATTGGACTTACCCTTTGGACTTAGTCAGATCTGGGCTTTAGTTTGAATCTGGAAACTAGCCCTTGTGCTTCAACTAACTGCTACCTTTGTTTTTGCAGATCCAAGTCTAAAAGTCTTTGAAGCATTGGGCTGGGCTTGACTCTTCCTTCGTAGGCTAAATTTCAAAATTCTTGTATACCAAAGTATGGTAAATGTGTAATGATGTTTAATGATTGTACCAAATTTCTAATTTTTGAATCATATACTTTGGGATGTTTCCTTTCGAATTCAAGCCCCATTATCGAACCCAAATGCTCTGACACGAAATTGGAACGAAAGATCAGACTATCACTCTCGAATAGCAATACTCTCTCTTGTGTAAATTCTGGTCACAAGTTTTTTCGTTTTATATTCGGACAAAATGTGGTGTCTACAGGGACTATTGAAGAAGGTGGCATGAATGAGAGAGGCATCACGACAGGTGTAGGCAACTGAAAGGGAGCTGCGCACGCTGGAGGTGTCACTCATGGTGATGGAGCAGTCGACGATGCACCCTCCCCACAAGCAATGGCGAAGGCGAGCTTGTTGGCGACAATGGGGCTTGATGTAGAGCATATTGGCGGTGGCTCATCCCTAGAGCCCGCGAGGCTGAGCAGTGTGGGCCAAGTTTCTGGAGGCTCAAAGCTCAGGGGAGGACTCTTGCACACTCCAACTGCGCATGGTATCATCGCGATCCACAAAGGCGAAATTGGCGGGATATGACCTCGTGGGCTAAGAATTTTGGTTTAATGGACCTGAGGCTCAACGTTTGTGAGTAGGAGTAGGTTACGGACCGATGAGATTTAGGCCGATCGGGTCCAAATTGAGTTGTGGTTGAAGACGAGATGAGCTTGGTGAACCAAGGCGAGATGGTTGGACACCAGGGTAGTTGGCTAAGTTGAGGAAAACCGAGACAATTGTTGAATACTAATAAGAGTTCTTGAAACTGAGCAACATGTGCAAAGGAATGCTAGATGAGACTGGGGGCAATGCATGACAGGTCTGAGGCCAGAGTTTGCGGCATCGGTCAAGGTATTTGAGTCTAATTCTTTGAGAGTGGGTTTGAGGTAAAAAAAAAATGATCTATCTGGTTGGAGGAGCAGTGGCAGTTGCTTTCAGAAGGCAACTAGTCTTTCTGGTGGAGGTTTCATGGATAGCAGAGGAGTCATGGCAGTGGCTGCTCAGACTCCAGGGATGGCAACTAGAGATGACAATTTTGACCTGACCCGTTTGCATAAATTACATGTAATCTTAGTCATTACTTAGGTTTTTTCTGTTATTACCTCATATCTTAGCTATCATAGAGTTATAAATAAATAAAAACCTCAATTCCTCCAATAGTTTAACTACATTTATTATTTTATGATTTATTTCTTGATTCTAATGATAATAACGAATATTTCTAATATTTTCCATATAAATTACACGGTTACTAAAAATATAAAATAAAATTTACACTAAAAGTTACCTACTAAAAATTAGAGATTAAAAAACAGTTTCAGGGTTTTTTTTTTTTATCAGGTTCCTACTTCCTAGGGCTAGAATGTGTACACTACAGTTTTGATTGTTTAGCAAGAACGTCGGTGGTCGTCATAGAGAAAGCAACAAACTTCAATTCGCCATTCTAGGTCTGTCGCTTGAAGCTACGGGGAGCCGCCCAACCTAGTGGTGAGATGAGCAGCCGACGCGGCCCACCGAAGCACCAAAACGAATATGCTTGGAAGCCTAAAGCAGGCATCAAGATCAACGAAACGGTAAATTCCCTTTTCGGAGAGACAAACACTTGGATTAATTCATCGCTCTTTCTGTCCTTTGATGCCCCATGGAACCAACTGATATGTTTCTCAACTTCCCGCCAAGTAGGAAGTCGGCGGCAGGTTCAGGCCCTTACCGGCGATTTGCGGAGTGTGCCAACGATGTAAAGACCAGATCGATTGGAAGCGCCGCTACGGCAAGTACAAGCCTCTTACTGAGCCAGCAAAATGGTTTAAGTTTGAACCCTTACTTGTTTATTGCCTTTCCTCTGTTCTTCTCTTATATCAGTAAGATAGATGTAAGTCACTGAGTAGTGGGTTTGAATGTGTTGCAGCCAACATTGCTCCAAACGTGCAGTCCGTCATGCCTACCATAACTTATGTTCAGGTTGGTAGTTTTCTACTTGGCTGAAAAGGTTTCAGCTTTGCGCAACTTTTTGGTTTCATTGCTGGTGGTCATCTTTTTCTTTGATTGGAATGGATTGTTCTGTTTAGGATGTGCCAAGGAGCAAAAGGTGTGCGCAAAGTGCCAATGCCGAGTGGACCAGATAGTTGGAAGGTCTGGGCTGAATTTTTTTGTTGCCAAAAGTATATACCTGAAGTTTGATTGTAGTAACAATAGTTTATACTGAGTCTTCGACTTTGTTCTGTTTCTGAAGGGATTCTGAAGTTGCCGAGGCTGAGCAGAAGATGCTTGAGGATGTATGTTTTTTATATGGCTAACAATTTGATTTGCGATAAAAATTGAATAGTTATTTCTGTTTGGTTCTGAACTAGGTTTTGTTGGTGCTTTTGTTGTTGTAGGCCATTAAGAATGCCCGGGAGAGAGATAGGAGGACCCTCCTGCGCTCGGTAAGTTTCTTGGTGAAGGCTTTCCATTAATTCAGTATCTTGTTGTCTTCCTGTGTTGTTGTCCTGATTAAAAAATTTGTTAGTGCTTAATGAATTTGATCTCCTACAGCTACAAGTGAAACGGATTAGAGAGTGGTGAAGAGTTGTCCTGATGTTTTCTGGCAGTTGATTTAGTATCGTAATTGGAAGTACGGGCTTCGATTTCTCTGCTCCTGTAATGCACCTAAATGCTGCTTGGTATATGCATTAGAGGATTGTCAACAAAGAACTGACAAACTGATATTGCTCTTCTCTTGATTGGTTGTTTGATGTTGTGTACTCAATCTCTGTCCATGAAAGCCTTAGAGATTTTGTGTTCCTTGTAGAAAATGCTCAAGTAGCCTCATCCTTTTCTTAACATTGTCATTTATCATATCCTTGTTAGAACAGAGTTCGAACCAATGCTCAATGTGCAGAGGCCTTCCTGCTATTGAACTTATACTGCACTCTTCATGTCCTACCTGGTCTTTCTTATTTCTGTCATTCTGTCTGACCTTGCATCAAGTTGGGTGTGTGGTGCACATGTTTGACCCCTTGTAATAATTGCATCAGATGGGCAAAGCTAAAACCAAGACTTCAGCAATGCCACCAACCACAGAAGGAAATAAAGTCGGGGATCTGTTTCCTACTGTATCACTGGAAGGATATGCTGCAAAAGTCTCTGGTCTTCGTATAAGTGACACTAATAATAAGGACATCGATGAAGGAGAAGAAAACCACTACTGTGATGAACAAGGCGTACCAAGAGACGAGAATGAAGATGAAGTAGAGGGGGATGATAGCGAGGAAGACAATGGTGAATCGGAAAGTGGAAGTAGAGTTGAACAAGCACTTTAACATCATTAGGATTGGTAGCTATATAGGCACTCGAAGATGGAAATGTATCGCTTTATAATGTTTCTAAAGTATCCTACTACTGCTCATATACGAGGAAGCAATTTTGGTTTGAGATCTCACTTTTCGGTACTTGTGATTCCTATTGATCAAATTATGGCTGCATTCATTTTCCAGACTAATACAAAATGTCACAACGTTTGTAAATTTGATAGTTTGTAGAAATATCTATACCAAGAACTTGTTTGTAAACATCCAGTTAATCACTAAAAAAAAGTTTACTTCCGTTTCATTTAAAGTACTCGGCACCCGATATAGAATGCTTCAACTGGAAGGGATTTGCCTTCTCCAAGGCACATGAAATAATTAAGAAAAGTAATTTGGAGTCAGAACTCAGAAGAACCTAGGGAAGATTGATTTGCTGAATAAAAGAATGACAATGGATCTGAAGTTCTGAACTGAACTTAATTTCGAAGTCAACCTGGCCTAGGAGGCTACTGCACAAGAAAAAGAAAGAAAGAAAAACATCAGCTCCTCAAAGCTTGAACATTTTGTTCCATTTTCTAAAAAAGAATATGCAGAAACAAAGCAATTCAAGAGGAACCTCGTCCAGATGGCTCCCTGGAGGAAGAAGACTACTTGCATTGCTATGCCCTCTCTTGCTTCTTTGCACCTTCACCATCTTTAGTTTGAGCTCCAACATCTCTTATCCTGGCTTGCTTTTTGCAGCCAAAGATGTCTGCAATGGTGAACCGGCTTTGCTGCCTTCTTCATCTTCTTCTTTACTCCATTCCCAAATTTTCGGCTTGCAGGCTCAGGTGGGAGTGCTCCTGCAGCAACTTCACAACGATAGCCTAACAGGATCCAAGACTTTATTAGCGTTCGCGGATCAACTTCTTTCCATAGCGGTTTCTCTGGACAAGGTTGCAGGCAGTATTTCAAACCCATCGGGCAGCTCACATGCTGCTACTGAAATGAGCCAAGTTGATGAAGATCTCACTGAATCCACCGACGATGAAAATGAAGACGAGTCAACAGGAAGAGTAAAGTCATTCACTTCACGTCAGGTTCATAACTACATATCTCCAAAACCAAACAGGCAAAATGGTAAGAAGAACTTCCTTGGAATGGAAGCAATCACCCCTGCAGTAGGGTTTGGCTGTGCCCATATGGCCACACATCTAGACCGTTTCGTGAGCTACAAGATGTACGAGATGTGCCCAGATGATTGGGATGTAGCTCAACGGCTGATCCTCAATGGACGTGACTCGCTTCCAAGAAGATTGTGCTTCTCAAGGGCATCCCCAAGCTATACCAAGTTACCAACCCGATTCCACTGATGAATTCCTCTCTCTGGGCCCCACCTAGCGATTACAATATCATGTGGAGCCATTACAAGTGCAAGAGTTATGATTGTCTTGTTTCTGGTGAAGCTAACAGAAGAGGGTTCTTCAAATGCGCAGACTGTTTCAACCTGACGAAGCGAGGCTGGGATGTGGCAACCAATGAGTCCATCTCGGCTGAATTCACCATTGACAAGGTTTTGAAGTTGATGCCAAGCGAGATCCGTGTAGGGCTAGATTTTAGCCCTACAACCGGAACTTTTGCTGCACTTATGAGAGAGAGAGGTGTGACCATTATTTCAGCTACATTAAACCTAGGTGCTCCTTTCAGTGAGGTAATTGCACTGAGGGGGTTCTTGCCTCTGTATGTATAAGTTGGGACAAGACTGCCTTTCTTTGACAACACGCTTGGCATTGTGCACTCAATCCTGTTCTTGGACGGATGGATAGGGGTCGAGCTACTCCGGTTTGTGCTTTTTGATTGGGACCGTGTTCTTCGACCCAGAGGGTTACTTTGGGTCGATCGCTTCTTCTGCAAGAAAGAGGATATGAAGATGTACCTTGATGAGTTCGGAAGGCTTGGATACAGAAAGCTATTGTGGAGAGTTGTGCCAAAGACGGACAAACTTGGGGATGAGCTTTTCTTCTCTGCTGTTCTGGAAAAACCTACCAGACATAAAATGGCAGAAGTTTTATTGCATACAATGATACAATCTTTCGATACATAGGAGTCACATGTTTTTTTAGTGCGAAATGAGAATTCTCCGATGAAGAAATCAACTTGTTTCTTCTCCTTTTATTACTACTATCAATGAGCAATAGTACACAACTAATCGTCAGAAGAACTCGAAGTTTTCCTACACATACACTTTAACGGTAAGGGAAAAAGAAAACAATACAGGCGTTACAATTTTGTAATCACGTTAATATTTCGCCCTCAAGGGTGAATAATAATGAAAGGGCTCTTCTATGTAATCAAAGAATCGTAGATTTGATCCATGTGGCTTTCCAAAAAAAATCTGCAACTGATCAAGATTTATTGGTATATCCCCTCCTCTTTGGCCATGGCAGTTTCAGCCAACAACAAAAATAAAACATTCTCTTGCGAATTTGTTGAAAGAGACATCTCAAGAAGTCGTAGAGATTCCTGATCAAGAGCAAAAATTCCCGTCATTCCTTCAACAAGATGTTGTTGGCCACTGTAATGTCCAGAGTCTTTCTGTTTATTCATCTTTTGCACACAAGCGCTCTGCATGGAGCAATACACATCTGTTAAGGAGGTGAAATTATAAGCTATTCTGTCAAGACTAGATAGATGAACTACCTATAACCACTGCGGATAGTTGGTAATAAGATGAGGACACAGAAGATTAGAAGAGAGATACACATCTCTTGTAGGTCTACAAACTACTGGCCTGAGATATGCATAATGAACAACTCAAGACTTATGAAACAATGGTATCCCTAGTGTCTGCACAAGTCAAAGCTCTTGATATGGCCATTGAACAGACAAAGGGACTAACAGCAGCCTAGTGTCACATTAATACTCTAGAGATTGAGTAGGAGCAAGAATACATACTCAAATACTCATATGCTAGTATCATGGAGGTTCCCCATGCTGACATGCTGACAAATCTTGGGCCCAACCCTTTGTATAAACCAGTCCAACCATCATCCTTTACCAAGGTTTTGACCACCTGTCTAGCAGTACTTTTCCTTTCATGCCCCATTACCTGGACCAAGGAAACACCCGAGTAAGGGAAATGAGTAGGACACAACAAAAGGATTAGTGGTTACATGGAAAATGAACTTGTGAAACACACCAACAAATGACCCACCCATTATGTAATTTATGTAGTTGCCGATTATAAACTAACTTCTGGCTTCCAAAACCTCTCCTAACTATTGTTTTAGCACACAGCCAAACATTTAGTCCATCTCCATGTTATTGCCTTAGCTGCTATAAAAGACCATAAAAAGAGTATGATGCTAAACCACTTCATGGCTTACTCACCGTCATATATCGAAGTTCCATAAAGCAACCAAGGAAAAGTGGAGAACACTCAAAACTTCCTTTCACGACTAGTAAAAGTCAAGTATTCAACTTCACTGTCGCGAAAATATTTCTCATGCATAAAATGGTACCCCTTTCAGAAGTTGCATCATTGCAGGCCAACTTTGTTATAAAAAAAAATTCATTGCAGGCCAACTAAATTAGTTTTTTTTATTGCATTAAATTATGAATGAGTGGCTACAAGTCCAAAGGGAAGGAGAAGTTGGACAGCGCAAGAACACTATTCATTAGAGATTTGAACTATTACCTGCAAACGTGTCTTTATAGTGTCCAAAGGGGTTGTGATGCAGGAAGCAGTAGCTCCTGCAATAATCCCTCCACTAGCTTGAACGGCGACTATCTTCGAGTCACTAGGGGCTGCTGGCTCAGCATCAGTTCCATAACCTAAAAACCTGTTCAGAATGATCCACATGTTAAAGACAAATAAATCATGCCAGTTACCGAAGCCTGGTGAGAGGATTAAAAGACCATACACTCGGTTTGGGGTGCAGTAGGAGAAAACCTACCTAGCACATGCTCTAAAGCCATACCCTAGCACAAGTTTATGATTATATAATTTCCAAAAGACTAGATAACATTTTACATTATCTAACCTAAATTTAATATCAGAGAGAGCCTAAAACAGAAAGCTAAAATAGTAAATTAATCTGAAAATTTAAATCAAGAAAATAGAAGGAAAATCTTCAGGGTAAAATGAAACCACCTCCATATAACGCGTTGGCTTGAACCATAGCTTGCCCACCATACAGCACTAGATGGGGAATATGTCATGACTGAAAGACCAAATCCCCTATATAATCCTCGGATTCCATCACTCCGGACAATCTTACGAACAACATCAATACCCCCCTTATATCTCTCATGACCAGAATATCCTTGCACCATCAACTTTTGACTGACCTAAAACAAAACGATAATGGAGCTATTCAGAAATCCACATTGTATGCAACTTTAATTTCTGTATTCTCTAAGCCAACAGCATACATATACGAATGAAAAACAAAACTATAATGACCCTGTCCTCTCGAGAATAGGCAACATAGAGTTTCAAGAAGCGACCTTTCGAAAATTAGTCCCCCAAAGGTCATAAAACAGAAAGCCTAACTCTTAACTAGTGTAGATAAATATCAGGACGCCATTCTAAGGTATTCAAAGAAAGAAGCGAACAACATACCACATCAATTGGAACAAACACCGACTGCGAAAACAAAGACGACGTCATGCCAGCAATCCCATTTGCCACAGCTGCTTGCGGAGCTTCAGATAAATTGAGCGGTTCAATCATTTTGAAAGCAGCCACTTTTGTGGTCTCTAAAGCTGTGAGAAAGATAATCCTAGCAGGGATTGCCCCAGTTATCACGGTGCCAAACCCTCGGTATAGACCAGGTATACCATCTGACTTCAGTAACCCTCTGATGACAGAAAATGCATTCTTCTCTACCGTATCCTTTGTAGCAACCTGGAGCCTGGTCTTGATAACAGACATGGGATACAATGCTACTGTAACCCCAGTGAAAATCCCAGCTCCCACCACATAAAACTTAGTCTTGTCCAACCTGGCAAAAACCCAGATGGAAATACATAAGCACATGAAAAGGGTTTAGATGATTTGCCCAAATCAGATACTTAGCAAGAAGCAAAACATCATACACTGCTAATGAGGGAGCATTGTGAAACAAGCAAATTCATATCGAATTCACATGTTCCGTACTTTCCTTTCACAATGGAACTTTTCCTCCATTGTTTTAAGGTAGGCCAGCGTGATATAACAACCTTGCAACTCCATGTTTTCGGTCGTATTTTCTCGGCAACCAAACGCTCAGCGGAAAATCAATTGACTACGGTAGCAACAATACACATAGCAGAGGGCAAAAGACGAAACGTACTTGTCCCAATTGATCTCGGTCTGGCCAAAGGGCTGCGCTCGGGCGCTAGTTGTGGTGGTAGTAGCAGTGGATGCCTCCATTGGGGAATCTCGGAGCTTGGGAAGCGAAGAAGTATCGGCGGGTGATGTAACCAAAAATCAATGCTAAAGGGTTTGAATTTTCTCTTTCGGGAATCAGGTTTTCACATTTCAGGGGAACTTGGAGCGAAAGATTCCCGTTCTGAAACGAAAAATCAAACTTTCCAATACGAAAATCTCATTCTGCAATCCAACGACCGATCTGTAGTTCTGTACTAGTGTACTAATATTCTGGAATTGTTAATTTTCTTATTATTTAATTATGGTCGACGCGCCGCGGTGGAGAAGTTTGACGAGAGAAATAGGCCAATTGGACGAACGGCGGCCAGCGGGAAAGCGTTGGAGAAAATCATTTCATTCGTGTAATTTTATGGGCCAGGCCCAAATTTTCTATCATTCCAACCCAATCCCTTAGGGACATCCATAAAATTAGAACGATACAAAGAAGATTAGTATAATCAGTGGCGTAGCCAGACATCGAGTCCATTGGGGTCCTTAAAATTTTACTAACATAAATGTTTGTGTATCTAATAAATTTTGAGTTAACCGGGGTCTTTGATGAGCTAATATCGTTGAGAGTATGGAGTCCTAAACTTGAATTATCGTACTAAAACCTAAGTATTTAAAGGGTTTTATTGCCCAATTATTTACCAAGTGGGGTCCTAGGACCGCTCTCCTCCTTACCTCCCTCCGCCACTGAATATAATCCCTGCGCAAGGATAATACACATAAATCAAGAAATGATTTCAACCCAAACCCACTAGCATTTCTCATCGTCATGGATGCCAAAGAAAAATGATTACTAACAAACCCAAGAATCCACCATTCGATCAATGTAGAACAATATTAAATGCACACTTTATCCCTAAGCTACGCAACACAATTGTGAACTAGCAATCTCCGCAACCCTACTAAAAATGTATACTTAATCACTACTACCAATCTTTACTTAGCCATAATTAAGATTTACATGAACGTTGATCATATTTAATAAAATTTTAATCTATAATAAACTTTTTTTCCTTAGTCAATTCAAAAGGTATGCGTGGCTTAACTGCATTGTCTTATTCTTCAAATCAATTGGCCACAATCTATGGACGATGAACTCATCCTGCTTCAATTGTACCGTGCAATCATTGAACATGCAAATGACTAGGGACTATATCACCACGAAGAGTATTCTATGCACCTTGATCGGATCGTAGTTGAGAACGTTGTACAACTCCTCATCTGTAACCGTGGTAGAAAACTTGTAAGATATGATATTCGGGTTGGGACGGGTTTTGCCAAACCCAAATTCATGGGTTTATCCGTCAAAAAAACTCGGGATAAAATTCGCTGCGTTTGAAAAACTCAAACCAAACCCAACCCGCTGGGTATCCGCGGGTTCATGGGTACCCGTGGATTTTTGCGGTAAAAAATTTACAATAACAAGTTTCTTCCAAATAAAAGGCTAACATCAAATTTATCATGAAAATTATTCATACATAAAAAATACCAATTTAGAGCATACAAGCAAACCACAAATTATCAATATAAATTGTTCAAAATTAAAGATAAACATCTATAAACAACATGATTAATTGAGAGCTCCTTCCTCCATGTCAGCTAAGCATCTTCATTCTCCACTCTATAATATCAACTTCATCGTACACAACTAGAAAGAACAAATTAGACATGCCTCCACAAACATAAAGAAAATTAGTTGTTTAAGGAAGAAATATTGTTTAGAATATTAAATATACCGAAAAAAGTAATTATATGAGTGTGGGCGGGTACCCATGGGGCGGGTTTGCCTAAATCCAAACCCAACCCAACCCGGTAATGGTGTAGCGGGTTTAAACCCGAATCTGGCCCAAAACCCGTCAACACGGGTTTTACCCCGCGTTGACCGGGTTGGGTCGGGTAGGGTACCCGTGGGTTCGGGTTTTGTTGTCATCCCTAATATGATATTTAGTCATGGAGGCAACATGCAACTTAGTGAAAATCCTGGTCATGCTGGTCTGAAGCAGGGAGATGTGAAATGGCGATGCTGGCTACTTCGATTTAGGGATTTAGCGGAAATGGGAATCGACAGGAATGGAACCAAAATCATACTAAGAAGAGCTGGTCATCAGATAGATACCCATCTATCTTAATTTTGATTCCAATGGGCCTGGCGCCAATTAGGCCAACAGACTGACAGATTAAAAATGCTGGCTTGAACCAAACAGGCCCGACGCTTTCTTCAAAGAAGAGAGAGAACAGTCTTCTTCTTCCCTGAATCAAAACCGACGCAGAAGTAGAGCAAGGAAGAATAGAGTACTGCGATGCAGCAGGAAGAAGAATGGCAGAAAGTAAAAGAACACAACGAGATTTTTAACGAGGTTCACCATAGGGTTACTCCTCGTCCCGGAATAGTACCCACTATTCCGAGAGACACTTTTGATTTTCTTTGACTCTAAAGGAAGAAGAAGAACGAAAGAGTTACACGAAAAGTGAATATCAAAAGGCACGACTCAATACCCGAATTCGCGCAAGAATTTGTTACAACCTTTGATTAACTGATCCTATACCCCAGTTAGATCAAAGCCACTGTTTAACCTAACCCTCTGTCCTATATCACAAAGAATCCCAAAAATAGTACATTCGATGTTCTTCAATGGTGATATATATAGTCTGCTTGCTGGGTAGCCGTTGTAGCTTGAAGATTGAATTCTTGAATGGAGCGGCTCCCCCTTGATTTATGCATTGATTCAATCTTCTTTTCCATCTTTGATTCAATCCAATCTGGTAACTTGATCTGATGAGATTCTTTAGTCCAACAATCTCCCCCTAAGTTTGAGATTGTTGATTGACTCGTTGATACCTGCAAACAGAAGCAAACACCTTTCCCAGACCAAAACAAAAAAGACGTCCACAAAAAGAAGTCTTGAAATACAATCTCATAGCAGAATAACTCCAACAAAACCAATCCAAAAGCTGGTGAGACACGTCCATCAAACCATCACAGACTAAAAAAAATGATCAAAGAGCAGGCAAGAACTAGTGAAACATGTCCAGCAAACCACTGAGTTTGGCAACACTCAAAACTCTCCTAAGACACTTAATCAGAGCCATAGACATCCTGAAGAGCAGCAAAGACAACATCTAAAGGGGGAGACCCTGGGTCAGTGTCAGATGACTCTGAGCCAGAGTCATCGCTGCTAATCCAGTTAACTTCTATGTCAGGATCTTTCTCAGGTTCTTCTTCAGACTCCCCCTCAACTTCAGCAGGCTCTTCCTCAGGTTCTTCTCCAGACTCCTCCTCAGCAGTCTCTTCCTCCATATCTTCATCATCCTCCCACTCAACGATGTCATCCGCAATCTCATCAAGAATGTCATCCGCAGTAAGATAAACATTCAGAGTGGTGGTGCGAAAAGGATCGAGAGAGATCCCAAGACAGAGAATAAGACGAATGATGAGAGGACCAAAATGAAGATGACCTAGATATTCAAACTGTTGAAAGGGATATAGGCCACCAAATAATAGGTGACAGTAGTCAAGAGGGACATTGGCAACGACATGGGCGATGATCCAGAGGTCTAGAGGGGTAACCCTATCGAGCAGCACAGTCCATGGAAGGAACTGACGAGTGAGAAAAAAGTGGAAAGTGCGCAAGGAGGGTAGCAAAAAGGCAGAAGGGAGAGTGAGGAAAACATCAGGAGTGTGACCAGTGAGATGAACAAACTCATGTTCAATATTGAAATTGAAGTGAACCAGTTCAGTCTCATTAGCAAGAATCTCTCCTACCCGAGGGATATTCAACAGATGCCTAAGATATTCTAGAGGAACAGTGACCAGATGCCCATACACCAGAGTGGTGAAGGTACGGGTATGAAGTCCAAACGAACGAAAGTTCGAGTAGAACAGACGAACAGCCTCAGCAAATATACTCAATAGGATCGGCCATGAGGAAATCCCAACCCAGATTATGAAGGTATTGAGAGACATCTAGACCATACTCGACTAAATCAGGAAAAGGAACATGATAGGTAGGAATGATAGGACGACGGGCAAAGGAAACAGCATGACGGCGAGAGTTGGCAAGAATTGGGTCATGGAAGAGAGTACATGTGTACGTGCGAGAGAGCCCCTAGAACCATTGAAACTATGAGCTTAGAACCTAAGAGCTAAAAGATTGAATGCAGAACGAAAGACTTGACTTGACTCAGTTAAATAGACTGACTTGCCACGAGAAAAGGAAGTAAACACTACAAAACAGGAAGAAACACACAAAGACACAAAACAGGAAAGAAAAGAAAGGAAAGAGCAACCGAGAAATCAGGAAGAATCCTCCAGATGATCTGGAGATCTTAAACCAATTTCATAACAAATGAAGGTGAATCGATCAACATTCAAGGCTTTAGTAAAGAGATCCGCCAGTTGATATTCAGTAGAAATATGACTGATGTGAATAATATTCTGGTGAACTAAATCCCTTATAAAGTGATATTTAATTTCTGTATGTTTGGTTCTTTAATGCTGAACCGGATTTTTGGACATACAGATGGCACTGGTGTTGTCACAGAAGAGGGGAATGGGTTAAGTGGACACATTATAATCTTTAAGTTGATTTTTAAGCCATATGAGTTGAGCACGACAGCTGCCTGCAGCTATGTACTCTGCTTCAGCAGTGGAAAGGGCAATTGCACCCTGTTGCTTACATGACCAAGAGACTAGAAAAGTTCCTACAAATTGACAGGTACATGTGGTGATTTTCCTATCGGTTAGACTACCCGCAAAATCGGAGTCACTATAGCCTAGTAAAGTAAAGTTATCATGTTTAGGGTACCATAAGCCAATATCTGGAGTTCCTTTTAGAGACCTAAACATTCTTTTAACTGCTTTGAAGTGACTCTCCTTAGGTGCAGCCTGAAACCTGGCACATAAGCACACACTATGCTGGATATCAGGACGACTAGCGGTAAGGTAAAGTAATGAGCCAATCATGCCTCTATACTTGTTTTCATCTACTAGAATTCCTGACTCATCTTTATCCAGTTTGAGGTTGACAACCATGGGGTTGGGACAGGGGTTTACATTGTTCATTTCAAACTTAGATAACATGTTCTGGAGGTATTTGGATTGATTTATAAAAATTCTAGTCGAGGTTTGTTTAACTTGAATCCCAAGAAAGAATTTTAGTTCACCCATCATGCTCATTTCAAACACAGATTGCATAGTTTCACAGAATGCAGTGCAGAGAGAAGAGTCAGTTGACCCAAAAACTATGTCATCCACGTAAACCTGAACTAAGAGAATTTGACCTGATTCGTGTTTAATGAATAGTGTCTTATCAATGCTTCCTCGAGTGAAAGAGTTTTCTGTAAGAAAAGTTGTAAGGCGTTCAAACCACGCTCTGGGAGCCTGTTTGAGTCCATACAACGCTTTGTTAAGTTTGTAAACATAATCAGGGTGTTCAAAATCAACAAATCCCGGAGGTTGAGCAACATAAACTTCCTCCTGAATCACCCCATTTAAGAAAGCACTCTTAACATCCATTTGATATAGAGGGAAACCTAAGTGACTTGCAAAGGCACATAACAATCTGATTGACTCAAGTCTAGCAACAGGGGCAAAAGTTTCATCGAAGTCTATGCCTTCTTCCTGAAGGTATCACTAAGCAACAAGCCTAGATTTATTTCTAATAACTAATCCCTCTTCACCAGATTTATTGCGATAAATCCATTTTGTTCCTATGACAGTAACATTTTCAGGTCTAGGAACTAAGTCCCAGACATGAAGATGCTCAAATTGAGTTAGTTCTTCTATCATAGAGAATCCCCATTCCTCATCTTGTAAGGCTTCTCTAAGATTCCTAGGCTCAAACTGAGGTACGAAAGCATATTGACCAGGGGTGTACTTACCTATGGTTTTTAGGCCATCATTCAATTTGCCAATGATTTGATTTTCTGGGTGCCTTTTCTGAATGTGTGGTGGAGCCTGAGGAACTTGTGAAGCAGCTTGTGAGTCAAAGGAAGGTTCATCCAGGTCTGATGATGTCACCATCTTCTCATTTTGTTCCTGTTCACTAAGAGAAACTTGACCAGAGTATGTTAATTCAAGTAAATCAAAGTGCAGAGTTTCATATGGCACCACAAAGTTTGATTCATTGAACATAACATGAACTGATTCCTCGACTTTCTTAGTTCTCTTATTGAAAATTCTATTAGCTTGACCTTTGGATGAATAACCTAAGAAATGGCAGGATCTGATTTAGCATCAAATTTTCCAAGGTTATCTCTAGTGTTGAGGCAAAACACGGGCAACCAAAAGGATGAAAGTAAGCAATACTGGGAGTTTTTTCTTTCAGAATCTCATAGGGAGTTTTGTTAATTTGCTTACGAACTAAAACACGGTTGATAGTATAGCAAGTTGTGTTGATAGTGCCCTGATTATCATCACCAAACATTACTTTACCTCATCGCTTTAAATTTAAAGAGTTAAAAAGGTGTTTCTTACCAGACATGTGGTGGGAACACCCACTGTCTAAATACCATTGAGTCTCTGCAGTAGGTGGACAATGTGGTTGGCTGGTCTTTAGTGAGAGTTCAGCTTCATCAGGGTTTTCGAGGAATGCCATGTATGCTTCTGCATCTTCAGTGAACTCTTCTGCGTCAGACTCGTAATCACTCCAAGAGGCCTTCATTGCCTTCTCTTTAGCCTTTAGTGTCAAAGGACAGTTGGCTCGGATGTGACCAGGCTTTCCACACTTATAACAGTCTTGAATTTCTCTGTCCTCATTACCTGCATTACTTATTCTGGTATGCGATTGTCGCATCCTATCTTGAGAGAAGCTTTTAGATTTGTCAGAATGATTAGAGCTACCATGCTGGTAATTTCTATAAGAAGTTCTCTGTTTGTGATCATTTTTAAATTTAAGCATGCGATGGAATTTGTTACTAAGGCAAATTCCCTGTCAAAATCACTTCCTAGTTCACTCTCCGAGTCATAGTCTACTACCTGAGATTTAATTGCTAGAGATTTTTTCCTTTTCTCATCCTCTTTGCTTACTTGTTGCAGTACATGCTCATGACTCATCAAGGGCCCAATGAGTTCATTAACAGGTAAAAGACTCAGATTACGAGATTCTTCAATAGCAGTTCTTTTAGGTAACCACACCTTAGGTAGGGATCTAAGGATTTTTCTGATTAGATATTTCGACTCAAAAGTCTTCCCCGACCCTTTTAATTTGTTTATCAGAATGGTAAAGCGAGAAAACATTTCATGAATATTCTCACCTAGATTCATGATGAAGCTTTCATAGTCGTGGACAAGGAGATCGATCCGGGATTCCTTGATGTTTGACGATCCTTCATAGGTATTTTCAAGTGAAACCCAGATTTCATGAGCAGATTCACAGTTCTCCACCATATCAGCTTCATCAGAGGCCATTGCCGACTGAGGAATATGCATAGCTCTGCGATTGAGCTGAGCATTTTTCTTTTGAGCAGCTGACCAGAGATGTTGTTCTTCTGGTGCCATTTGAATTGGTCCATCGCGAACCACAATCCACAGCTCCTCATCAACTCCCCAAAGAAAGGTTGTCATCCTTTTCTTCCAGGCGGTGTTATTTGATCCTGTGAACACCGGAGGATGATTATATGAGGCATGCCCAAAGCTGGTGGTCGCCATTCGTCTGGATCTTTTCTTGGCAGCGTTGAGCTCGATCAAGAACCAGGCTCTGATACCACTTGTGAAATGACGATGCTGGCTACTTCAATTTAGGGATTTGGAGGAAATGGGAATTGACAGGAATGGAACCAAAATCAAACTAAGAAGAGCTGGTCATCAGAAAGATACCCATCTATCTTAATTTTGATTCCAATGGGCCTGGCGCCAATTAGGCCCACAGACTGACAGATTAAAAATGCTGGGCTTGAACCAAACAGGCCCGAGGCTTTCTTCAAAGAAGAGAGAGAGAACATTCTTCTTTTTCCCTGAATCAAAACCGACACAGAAGCAGAGCAAGGAAGAATAGAGTACTGCGATGCAGCAGGAAGAAGAATGGCAGATAGTAAAAGAACACAACGAGATTTTTAACGAGGTTCGCCACAGGGTTACTCCTTGTCCCAGAATGGTACCCACTATTCCGAGAGACACATTTGATTTTCTTTGACTCTAAAGGAAGAAGAAGAACGAAAGAGCTACACGAAATGTGAAAATCAAAAGGCACGACTCAAGACCCGAATTCGCGCAGGAATTCATTACAACCTTTGATCAATTGATCCTATACCCCAGTTAGATCAAAGCCACTGTTTAACCCAACCCTCTGTCCTATACCACAAAGAATCCCAAAAACAGTTCATTCGATGTTCTTCAATGGAAATATATATAGTCTGCTTGCTGGGTAGCCGTTGTAGCTTGAAGATTGAATTCTTGACTGGAGCGGCTCCCCCTTGATTTATGCATTGATTCAATCTTCTTTCCATCTTTGATTCAATCCAATCTGCTAACTTGATTTGATGAGATTCTTTAGTCCAACAGGAGATGGCCCAAAGGGCAAAGGCAAGCACAAAGCTAGTTTTCAACTTGCCCATATCTCCCTTTCCCGCTTGATCTACACAATCTTCTTTGCCTCTGCAAATGATTAGCGGATCCGACGGATGAAATAAGCTGAAAAAATTAACAGTACTGCCATGCTTATGTCCAACCTATCGAGTTGCAAGACACATAGCTTAATAATGTAGGCTCAATTATTACTATATAAACAACCAGTAGTAACTTTGAGATCACAATAATTGTGAGTGTTAAACACTTGTCCATAATTCTTTTTGCCTGCTTAACCTACACGGTCTTCATCGAAATTTTTACAGTAATGCCAAGCTTATGTCCACCCTATCCATTGAAAAAGACACAAAGCTTAATAAAGCGAGCTCAATTACTATATAAACAACCACTTAAAATTTTGGGATCACAATAATCGTGGGTGTTAACCACTTGCAACTTTGACGTTTTCAATAATTGTGAGTGTTAACAGTTAACCAAACCAAACCAAACCAAACCAAATCAAACTAAACATAGGAATGGTTTGGACGACTCATTTGACAGCAAAAAAAAGTCATTTGATTCCAACGAAACCCTTAAATGACTAATTTTTTGTTGCTATTGAAGAGCCTTGTCTAAAAATTGAGGAGCCCAGACAACCAACATATTAGCCCAACCAAAACAAAACATACATAAAGAGAAAAAAAAAACCACAAAGCCAAAAACAATGGTAGAAAAACAACACAACCCAAAAGCCACTTGATGGATTTGGATCCATGATCGATTTTACCCAAAATTCATTGTTTGCTTCAAGTATTTAGAGGTAACAAATCTGTGGGACCCTTGGATTTTGAGGGTCCAAATCCGTGGGACCCACGGACCTGAAAATCCCACATCTTTAGGTGAGAATTGATTATGGGCATTGAAGTACATTATTTTTTACCAACCTACCCCTCATATTTTCTTTCTCTTATTATATGATTAAGGGCAATAAAGGTAAGTTTCACTTCATACAAACAAATTTAATTACCAAAATCCATCATGAAATCCATGAAACAAACAATGATATTTTTCAAATTCATAATGAGCCCAAACTCATCATATATCCATGGTTTTTCAAGTCCACGATGCAAACGGCCCAGGCAAACAAACAAGCAAGCCCAACATCAACCCTAGCCCATAGCGTTCAAATGATATCTTCAACCACCATACTAACTCTAGACTGCCGTCAACATCCACCCAAACCGAAACCAACTTGAACCACTACACCATAGACGCCGCCAACAATGAACTCCAACGACACACAGTACGCCCAACGGCGGACCCACCTTTGCCCAAGGTGTGTCACCCGACGCACCTTGGTTCAAAGTTTTTGTCAAGAACCCACAATTTTTTTGTGTAAAAAATTCGAATATGGGACCTCCGACACACCTTCAATAATTTAAACCGACACACCTTATTACAGTAAAAAATGTTGTCATAATGTTATTAAAATATATAAATATAAGAGTTATCGGACTTCATTTTCGGTAGTTAATTAGTTGGTTGCATAAGAGTAAAAGTTAATTGACTACTTAGTACGTAGTGAGTATTTAGAAAGATAGATATCCACATAGAGACAACATCGATAATTTGGATGAGAATTAAATTGATTAATAAGCTGGTTGAGTCAAATAATTAGACAGTGAATTCGAGGCTGTCTTTCCCTATTGCTTCTTTCATAGATATTTCTTTAAGTTAATTTTCAACTTACTTTCTAGTTTAGTTATTTCTTTCCACGTTGACGCTTGTAGCCATCCTTCAATCGTCGTGTTGAGCCAACGACATCCTCGTGCTCATTCAAATTTCCACGTTGACACATGTGGCCACCCTTCGAGCTTCTCATACCAAATTTCTCATCTTAAATTAGTATTGACTTTACCTCTTGCAACTGCAAGCTACAAAATGACATTTTCCATATGAGTTTAATTGAGAACAATCTTTGGTATAAGTTGAGTGTCCAGTTTATGAATAATTGTTTAATTTTTTACATACAAAATACTTGATTTAAAACCTAATGGACAAATGTAATTAAGAAATCTTTCAAAATATGAAAACTCATCGTGGTTCACTGTAAGAAATAATGAAATTGGTGAAATTTATGAATAAAATTTGTCTGTTTATTTTAAATTAATTAATGTTAATTAATTTATTTTTAATCTAATTTTATTGGTCGACACACCTATCCCAAAATCCTGGATCCGTCACTGACTACATCAATATCAATAGACTGAGAACATCCATCAGAACTACCATCGCCATCGAACTACCACCGCCATGGGCATAAACAATAAAATCTCCAAGTTGATTAATCAATCAATTAGATCCAGTGACATATTTATCTTCGACTGGACAATCGAGAGAATCCGAATTCCAGACATCAAATGATCAAGATACCAAGTTGTTCATTCTTGTTTATTAAATTAATCAATTTTCTTATTATCCATATGGATTTTATTCGACAGTGTGACTAATAAGTGAGTAACATGATGGATCTGATATCTTGGTGAATTATTACCTGGCTAAATGAGTAAATTTGGTTATGCTCTCACCCAGTGGCGGATTCAGGGGGTGGCCACCCCGGTCTCCGGCCCAGCCCTTTTCTGGATTCGAAGTTAGTATAATGTTTATGAAATTTTCAATTTTAGTTATCCGGCCTAGTGTTATTTTATAATAAGATTGGGTGTAACTAGAAAAATGATTCAGATTAACATATTCAAATCACTACTATAAATTTAGTCTAGAAATTCTAGCTCCAAAGGCTATTTTTCAAAAAAAAAACAATGAAATCTAAAATTCTAAAAGTCTAAAACGTAAAAGACTATAAGAAATATGAGGTTTATTCCCTTGAAAATTTACTAAAACAGTTAGTGGATATAGGTATGGACACACAATGCACGATTGATTTGTCTAGTGTTGACGCTGCTCGTATCAACAAGTCAACAACTACTACAAGGAGAACCTTTTCAACAATGAAACATATGAAAACTGATTTCACAACAAAATGAATGATGAATTTCTAGCCGATTGCTAAAGTATTTTATTTAAAACAATGTATACTATTTGTATGGATGTGGATTCCATTATTGATGCATTCGCTAAATTAAAATACCGTTGTGTACAATTTATATTGTAAAATTTTTTTTTAATATTTTTTTACGGTTATATTTTTTAATGAAATGCCGCCCAGTACTCTTCTGTGTATTGGATCTGCCACTGCTCTTGCCATAATTGCAACTCACTTCATCGCAAAGAACAATAATGATTGATTACCACTAAGTTAAAGTCTTAAAAGTTAAAACCACTTTGTTAAATGATCACGCGTCTTGGCGAAGCCATATTTGTAATAATCACTAATCACGCACTCAAAAAAGAAGCAAGCACACTTGAGGTGGCTCACCTCTATTTTTACTCATTCAGTAGTCTCCCAACTTCTAAGCACACCTCTTTCTGCTCAGTCTTGTGACTAAAAAGAGGAAAAATACTGCCTTTTGACATGTGGATAGTGACTTGTCTGAGTCCTTAAAACAAACAAACGCCAAAGAAACGTCCCAAGTTGCATTGCTTCAACGCTCTGCTCTTCTTCCTTTCCCATTTCCCCACAAACATTTCTTCCCCTCCAGCTCCCCAGAGTCCTGCCCATAGAAAGGTGAACCCACCAAGGAATACAATACCAGGAAGATTCATCGACATAATTGTAAAATAGCTAAAAGGTTCATTGTTTTGCCTGGATCGCGAATCTTTCCATCGAAGGAGGAAATGGGATTCCTCTCCAGATTTACCACTCTGCTTCTGCTCCTTTCCCTGCTCTCTGCTGCCACCATCTTCACTTCTACAGGTTCGGTCTCAAACGTTTCCGTCCTTTTCTTTCTAAGCTCCCGTTTTCTGTTCAAAGTTATGGCCTTTTTGTTCTATTTGTTATTTATTTTAAATGGGTTCTCTGCCACTCTCTTTTTAAGTTTCTGGGTTTGTGGTGAGAAATGGAGAAATGGGTTTCCTTGCGATCATCGATCATCGGCCATTTGGGTTTAGGGTCTTGTTAGCTCGCTCCTACGGCGTTTGATTGTTTGACGAGGAGATTTAGAGTGTGATTGAGAAAAGTTAGCGTGCGAAGTTGAGTGCATAATCTTTGGATATGCCATGCACAGCTTGAGATGAGTGGATGAAGGAATAAGACTCTGGATTCTTCTACATTGTTTTGTTCTGTTGGTTAAATATTCTTTCTTGTTTACTTTTTTCTGGAACATTCTCATGGAGAGGCTTTTTAAAAATTGGGTTTAGGGGCTCTCTACTAGGTTTTTCCTTTTCTTTTCCAAGTTTCTTTTTCTTTGTCAAGTGGCAAATGTTTCTCAAGCCCTTGAATGGAAGAAGAGGGTGGAAAATACTTGATCTTTAATGATAGTTGAAATGGGAATGAACCAGTTTCCAGTGGATTTGAGATTATTAAGAGGTTTAATATGAACACTTGGATTTTCCATAAAGCTACTAATGAATAATGATTAGCTGAAACGGCTGAGCTGGTTCCGATAAGACGTGCTTCGCATTTGAACACTTTGTTGAAGTTGCGACTTTCAAATTTCCTCTGCCATTGAACTTTTGCTATTGATGCGTGCTGTTCTATGGATTCTGTCCCTTTTGACTCTGTTAACTGTGTGTCTGTGTTAAGAAAGATTAGGTGGGTTTTGAGCTTTATGCATTCAAAGAACTCGACTGCCCAAAGTTTCATTTGTTGTATGTGATGGGTTTCTTTTCTTTCAGAAGCTTATGACCCACTTGACCCAACTGGAAATATCACAGTGAAATGGGATATCATGAGCTGGACCCCTGATGGTTATATGGTAAGTACTACTGCTTATGCTACTACTTCTTCTTTCATACCCTTCAGTTGCTACACGTTGTTCTGCTATATTTGTTAGGCTGGTAATTACTGCTTACGCTGCTACTGCTTCCTTCATACTGTTCAATTGTTAATATGTTGTGATACATTCATTTTTTGATAATGTGTTGTGATACATTCATGAAACTGATCAACAGGCGGTTGTAACACTCTACAACTTCCAACAATACCGTCACATTCAAGCACCAGGATGGTCGTTGGGATGGACATGGAGGAAGAGAGAGGTGATATGGGATGTGGTGGGAGGGCAGACAACTGAGCAAGGGGATTGTTCCAGATTCAAAGGAAACATTCCACATTGCTGCAAGAAGAAACCCACTGTTGTGGATTTGTTGCCTGGAACTCCCTACAATAAGCAGGTCGCAAATTGCTGCAAGGGTGGAGTGCTCAGCTCGTGGGCACAGGATCCATCTGCTGCTGCTGCTTCATTTCAGCTTAGCGTTGGACAGGCCGGCACTACCAATAAGACAGTCAGACTTCCTGTGAATTTCACTCTGCAGGCACCTGGTCCTGGCTACACATGTGGACCGGCTAAAGTTGTCAAACCGAGTCGGTTCACGACTGCAGATAAACGACGAGTCACTCAAGCTTTGAGTAAGTTTAGTAGTCAATGGAATGATTAAGAATGTCATATATGCATTATAGATATTTACTTATTAAACCAATGTTAGTTTAGTTGAGGTTTATATTGTAAGGGTTCCCTCCTATGGGGGTGCACTGGTTCTCAGATGTACATTTGATCAGTTTTATCTTCTGATATGAGGTAACCAAATGCTTTCTTCCCATTGCAGTGACATGGAACGTTACATGCACGTATTCTCAATTTCTAGCTCAGAAGACTCCAACTTGCTGCGTCTCATTATCATCATTCTACAATAACACTATAGTGCCTTGCCCAACATGCTCATGTGGCTGCAAAAGCAACACTACTGTATCTGGAAGCTGTGTAAAGTGAGTTCTAAATTAATCATTCAAAGTGATCTGGTTCAATACGATTTTTGTCAATGTGATCATATTCCTTAACTTATTGCAGTCCGGAGAAACCACATTTAGCTTCAGTTGTTCCGAATCCGGGGAAGAACGGCTTGGCTGTGCCTCCTGCTGTCCAGTGTACACATCACATGTGTCCCATAAGAGTTCATTGGCATGTTAAACTGAACTACAAGCAGTATTGGCGGGTGAAGATCACCATCACCAACTTCAACTATGTAATGAATTATTCTCAGTGGAACTTAGTGGCTCAGCATCCGAACTTCGACAACCTTACCCAAATCTTCAGCTTCAACGCCAAATCGTTGAATCCATATGCATCTATCAGTATGTTTATTCAGTTGCCTTTTCGTTTTCCCCACAATGGATGTTGATGTTTTGACACTTAACGCAGTGACTAACCATGTCATCTTTGGTTAACTGCAGATGACACTATGATCATGTGGGGAGTGAAGTTCTACAACGATCTGCTGATGCAAGCTGGCCCAACTGGTAACGTGCAGTCGGAGTTACTTTTCCAGAAAGAAACCGAGAGCTTCACGTTCGAAAAGGGTTGGGCTTTCCCGAGAAGGATCTACTTCAATGGTGACAACTGTGTAATGCCTCCTCCTGATGCCTACCCTTGGTTGCCGAATGCCAGCTCCCGCCACTTCATGTCCCCGTCGATACTAGTCACAGCCGTTTTATCTGCTCTGGCTTTCATGCTTAAGTAGGCATGCCATGCACGCTGCACTACTCAGAATCACACATCACAGCGTCGATGTTGCATCCTGCAAAATTTTGACATGCAGTAACACTTACATGGGATCGGCAGCCCAGAGGTGCAGTTAGCTGGAGAATTATGTCTCTGTTTAGGTGAAGTGAGATCTGGTGAATTCGCCATGGTGTTGTAGTTTGTAAGTTGGCTTGATTGTGTTGTGAGTTGTGACGATGATTGCTGTATAACACCATTTGTAGCTATTGCAAACAGAAAAGGGTTAATGATATCAAAGATTGATCCTTGTACAAAGAGCCGATTGACTGGCTGTCGATACCTTAGCTATTTAACAACTGTGTATTGGTCGTTTATTCTAAAATTTTAAGAATAGTTAATTAATTAGGATTAATTAAATATTTATGATTGATCTAAGGGGTTGTTTGGAGAACAAGATTTTGATTAAGGGGTTGTTTGGAGAACAAGATTTTGATTATGAATTTATTGAATCAATAGATTTAGGGGTCATTTGGAGAACAAGATTTGGATTGTGGATTTATTGAATCCATAGATTTAGCAAAATGTGATGTTTTTTTGCTACTTTTTGTATCGTGGATTGTAACTTCAGAGATTTTAAATCTCTAAAATCTAGAGATATCAAATCTCTCATAATTAGAGAGATTCTACATCTTGATTTTGGAGATTTTCTCCCTCCTATTATATCTCTTGTTTTTTTTTTCATTTATCCCACTAAATACCCTTATCAATAAATTCTCAATATTTTCGAGCCAATCTAATTATTTTGATTAAGGATAAACATGTTATGTGATAAAAAAATAGAATTTTGTTTTTCATTGGATGTTAACAATCATAGTTATCAAACAATGAATATTTTCAAATCTTTTTTCAACAATCCAAAGAGTTTAAATCTTTGGATTGTCTAGAATCTAGAGATTTAGACTCCAATTCTCCAAACGAGCCCTAAGTAAAATGTTATGTATTTTTGTTACTTTTTTATTGTGGATTGTAGCTTCAGAGATTTTAAATCTCTAAAATATAGAGATATCAAATCTCTCATAATTAGAGAGATTCTACATCTTTATTTTGGAGATTTTCTTTCTCCTACTATATCTTTTTTTTTTCATTTATCCCACTAAATACCCTCACCAATAGATTCTCAATAGTTTTTGAGTCAATCTAATTATTTTAGTTAAGGATAAATATATCATTTAATAAAAAAATTAAATCTTTTTTCATTGGATGTTAGCAATTGTAGTTACCAAACAATGAACATTTTCAAATCTTTTTTCAACAATCCAGAGAGCTAAAATCTTTGGTATTTTATGGTACGACCGTGGTTCAACCGTTATGTACCGGTAAAATATCATTTTTGTAATTAAATAATATTTTTTTGTTAAAAAACCGTACCGGCAGACTCAGGATACTGTCTCGGAGTAATACCGGAATAAAATTGGAATATACCGGATAATAAACCTAAATAAACTAATAGGTTATAAACTCCATTGCATAATTGACCACTTACGAGCTTACATTTACATATATCACAAACGTCACTTTGAGATTGCTTGTCAACTCGTAAATAACAAGATACTATACTTCTAATCAAGATCAAAACATGTTGTTTTAGATTAAACTTTGAACAGATGATTAATTACACCATCCAGAACAGAGTGAAACAAGGTCTCTATAAACAGAGCTCCAATGGAGTGTTTCCTGCATATACCATTCCGTTTACTCAATCAATGATGGTAGAAACCAATTCTCCAATGAAGTGTTAATATTATATTCGTTTTATTAAAATATTATTTAAAATAATACTATATTTTGAGACTAATACTCCCAAATCATAGGAAAATGAGACAAATTCAAATTTCTATGGATACTCCTATTATCCTACGTCAATATCTGTAATTACCTAAAAGGCTAAAACTAAATGGTTAAACCAAATAAAAAACTAAGAATCAAAATTCTAAATTTCCTTAATTTGCACAACACCACAAACCCAGCCCCCACAACAAGCTTGGATAGCCCATATAAACTTACGGGTAATAAAATTCTGGAATGGCCCAACTATTGAGCCCAACCTTGACTATCATTCAAAACCCTAAACTAGCAGTCTATTAAAAAGTTGCCGACTCGGTCCACTGCCCTCTTCTTCCTCATGCCAGCAACATCTTCTTCTCCATGTTTTGGCAGAGAGCAACCCACGTTGGAGTGCTTTTTCCTTTTTGGACACTCCCCCAATTTCGCCAATGCCACTCCTCCGCAAAACGCCGCTCTTGGAAGATGATCTACGGCCAAAACGAGACTGCTCCACCAAAAAGTGATAAAGCAAAGAGGGCTGTGAACTTCACTCTCCTAACCTCAAATCTTATCGATCTATACCTTCTTCCCATCAACAAATCCCCCATGTCTCCCTACAACCTTTCATTCTTCAAAACCCAAGCTAGCTCAATCGACTTCTCACATGCAGATTCTGAAATCCTAGACCCAGACTGCAATTTCTTGTGCCGACAAGAAGTCACCCCCTCAAAGTTCAAGATCTCCGTCATTTATTTGATTCTCTTCTAGATGCAGAATTTCGGCATATTTTCGGCTTCCTCCATCAACCAGCCAGTGATTCCCTTTCCTTCATCGAATTAGTCGTCATTAGTTTGACACTTTCTCTTCTCCTCCGTTTCTATTAATTAAATTCACGAGAGGAAGAAAGACCGAAAGGGTACCCAAGACCCAAATTAGGTTTTGCATCTCTTGCCTTTGGCATATTTGTTTTTTTTTTAATTTAAGTACAAAACAGCGCCGTTTCCCATCCTTTAAGCCTACCGTCGGTCAAACCAAAGCCGGGCGGCTTTTTGTTTGGTACCGATTAAGCCGGTAAAACTGGTCGGTCCAATATTATACTACTAACCAGCCTATCGTATCGCTATTGGCCCGTTTATGGTTTTTCCGGTTGAACCGACCGGTAGTTTCCTGGTCCTTGTTATTTCCACGAAAGCCATATACCATCATCATATTAATCAACCTTTTCAAAAGCCATACACAACTTTGATGCCTGCCCGGGTTATGAATGGTTAAAGATTCGGGTTGGATCAGGTCCTTAAGCCCCATTCCTTAAGGAAGATCTTAAACCTATTCCAACCAATAGGAAGAGGAGAGATAAAAACATTACTAATCATTGACTAACTACCTAGAAGAACAATAAAGGAATATAGTAAATATTAATGATAATAATAATTAAAATGAAAAACGAAAATTAAACTCATAGTTTATTAAGAGGCAACCGAATCCATTATCAGAAGACGGTTGTCCTCTCTAACCCTAAACCTTCTCACCGTCAACATCCACTCGGCGCGAAGCTCGTTTCGAACACCATTCAGAGACTCAACAACACCCGTCGTCCCGTTCCCCGACAACCAAGCTTCGCCAGCAATCTCGACGTTTGTGTCTCGTTGCCATCCCGACGTCAGCGTCCCGTGGACACGTCGCCAGGTCACCATCTTCCCGTCATCACAACGCCATCATGTCGTTAATTTCCCGTCAGCTTCCCCTTCCCCATCCCGCCGCATCCGGCCTAACTCCGTCGTCGTCCCGTCGCCATCCGACATCTCCCCATCAGGTCGTCACCCCATCTTGCCGGTCTCCAGCTGTCACGCCTCCTGACGGAAGCTTTTGCAGAAGGAGGAGAAGATGCGTCGAGGCGAATTTAGTTCATAGTATTATTGTTTACGTTGAAAAATGACAAGAATTTCTTAATAATGAATTCGTCATTTGTTTTAAATTATGTAGAAAATATTAATAATGATATTGTATATTATTAACAATAATGAGCTGAAAAGTTGATAATAGCGTCACTTGAATGTTTACAACACAAGTAAATCGTGATTCAATTTGATTGAGAACATTAATAATAGTGTCACTAAAAATGTTAATAATGTAGGCGAAAACACTAATATAAACTGTTAAAACGTTGACAACTCAGTTACGTTGCTTTAAAAACCTCAAATTAGAAGTTATAACGATGTAATTGCACATATTTGCACCCCTAGTTCTTATCCGTTTGAGGGGGCATAGTTTTGTATTTTTGGCCTATTTTACGCCGGATTGTGCTACTTTGTCATATTTCAGGTCCCAGACGTCGAAGGAAAGGCTAAGCACGAGTTTCGGGGCATTCGGAAGTCTTTCGGTCGAGCTGGAGTCAAAACACGGGCACGCCTAAATCAAAGCACGACCGTGTTCCTGGACCGTGTTTTTACTGCCGAGGCTTGATCCAAGACTGTCAAACACTAGCTCAAAACACGGGCGGGACTGACCCAGAACACGGTCGTGTCCATCATCAAGCACGCCCGTGTTTTCCCAAAGTAGCGGCCGTGTTTTTACTACGTGGCCAGGGCACGGGCGGGCTGGAGCAAAGCACGGCCGTGCCCTCGACCGTGTTTTGCCCAGTGATGCCCTTTTAGGCAGATTTCAGCCAAAAGAGAAGGGATTTGAGTTTTAGAGAGACAGAGCGATTCCTAGAGAGAGAAAGCAACGAACAAGAGTTCCCAAGTGCCCTAGCTTGATCTTCATCACCATTGGAGCCTGGCTTGAGCTTGGAGGAGTGCCGATCGACGCCCAGGAGCAGAAATCCACCCTTCACAGTATGGTTTCCGCATCTGAATATGCTTTTGCTTCTTTCTCCATGGAGTAGTTCTCCCATTCATCTGGGTATGGGAAACCCTAGATTTGTATGTTAGGTTTGATTGTATGAACCCAAGTACAGATTCTATGATTTGATTATATTCAATTGAGGTTTGAATGATTGAATGGCATGAATCCTGATCAAATTCCTGTTGTTTCTGCTTTAACCTAGAAAGAGAATATCTTCCTAGGTTGATAGAGCACCCTTAATTGAAGGTAGTGAATTGGCGACTTTAGTCGAGGAGCCAATTCACTATTATGTACCGAATTTACTTCGGTAGTGAAGGTTTTGTTCGTTAGGGCCTCAGTCTGTTTACTCCGGTGGAGGTTAGTCGCCCGCTAGAGACTCAGATTGAGAGGGTCTGGAGACCTTTAGTCGAGACTTCATACTGTTTAAGAACCTTCCACAGTATAACTATCATAGAAATTGAACTTGGTAAATTGTAATCCGGCTTAACTGCAGTCTAGGGGGAACCATATCCGAGTGACCTCTCTCGACTTGAAACAACCGTTTAACTTGCTTTGTGTCTTTGTTTGTTTGAACATGCACTTAAGTTTTACTGCTAGATAATAAGAATTCACTGAGTAGTCATCATATCTAGGACCCGGGTTGACATTAAAACCCAAACCCGCTATACTACGCTTTAGGAAGTGGTTTCACTTGGCCATTTTCTAGAGTGACAGTAGGAGTGAGTCAAGTTTTTTGGCGCCGTTGCCGGGGACGGCTAGGTTGTTGAAGAAAAGTGATTTCTGTTACTTTAGCATTTTCGTTTTCTCATTGACTGTTTGTTCTTTCCCTCTTGTGCCTTCACGGGTTTGCTTGCTTGAGTGTGTGCAGGTAGTGCATGACCCGTAGCCAGTCGGGAGGTTTACTGCTGTTGAATCCAGAGATTGAACGCACCTGTAGCCAACTCAGGAGACAACAACGAGCTAGACTGGCTACGGAAGAGCGCATAGACGGCCATTTGAGCAGCGAGTCCGAGGACGAGTCCGAGATGGAGGGAGATTACAATCCACACCAGGGGAATCCTCACCAGGCTCCCCCGGTAAATCAGGTCTTGGGGAACAACCCCATACCCCAGGCAGATGGGGTTCATCATCATCCACCACCGCCGGGTCCCACCTTGGAGTACTACTACACTTCCTGGATTGCTGACATCCGCCCGGTCATCCTCTACCCACCTATTCCAGCGAACAACTTTGAGATCAAGCCATGCTGGATTCAACTTATTACATCCTCTATCCAGTTCCATGGCTTGAAGGATGAGGAGGCAAGGGTGCATCTTTCCCGTTTTTTGCAGCTGACGAACGAGTTCAAGCTGAACGGTGTCCCCGATGACGCAATCCGCCTTCACCTCTTCCCCCATTCTCTGGCGGGGAATTCCAAGAGGTGGTTGGAGACCCAACCCCCATTGTCCATCACTTCTTGGGATGATCTGGCTGACAAGTTCGTGCACAGGTACTACCCAGCATCGAAGACCACAGAGATCCAGCGAGAGATCACTCACTTCCGCCAAGAGCCAGACGAGTCACTTCGCGATGCATGGGAGCGGTACATGGGATATTTCTGGCAGTGTCCCCATCATGGCTTCAGTGATGTATTCACAGTGGGGAACTTCTACAGTGCTCTCTCTCCGGACAGCCAGAGGGTGATTGAGTCTCTATGCCCAGGAGGGGATATTCTTACTAAGACTCCACCCGAACTGAACTAGATGATCAGTACCTTGGCTGCAGAGATCATTCCTGGGGGCAGAGCAGCAGAGGCAGACATTCCCGGGACCATGGTGTGCACGCCATGGAGACTAGATCTGGGCTCGAGCAGCAGGTAGCTGAGTTAGTGCAGACATTGAAGCAGCCCAACAGTCTTATTCCGGGCAGAGGTTTGGCTACACCTCCAGTAGCTCAATGTCAGTGGTGTGAGAGCTCAAATCAGCTAGTGGAAGACAGCCAGGCTATGAAGGAGTCTTCTACTCCCCAAGAATAGTTGGACTTCATCGCCAATGCTCGGCGCCTCGACCCGTACAACAATACATATAATGAGGGGTGGCGCCAGCATCCCAATTTCTCTTGGAGCAGTAACACCACTAAACCACCTGGTTTCCCAGCACCAGCTGGTGTTTTTCAGCAGAGGCAGCCTTTCCAGACTAGACAGGAACCAGCACCACAGCAGCAGCCCTACCAGCCTAGGCAGGGGCAACCATTCCAGCAGCCCCAGCGTCAGTATGCCGAGCCAGCAGCAGCTCCGGCTCCAAATAATCAGATGACGAAGCTGGAAAATATTATAGATTCATTCATGACTACCAATCAGGCAACTGTCACGAGGTTGGACCAGAGCATAGCCTCACTGGAGGCAGGTCAGAGGAACCAAGGTGCCATTTTGCAAGATTTGCAGAACCAGATGAGTGACATGGCTCGCCAAATTAATAACCGAGCCCCGGGAACTCTACCTGCCACTACCATTCCCAATCCACGGGAGCCGCACCAGCAACTGGATGCCATTTTTACAAGGAGCGGTAAGAACATATCCGCTGATCCTGTCCTGGCCAGGCAGGAGGAACCACTACCTGCTTCAGCACTTCCAGCCGACGATGCAGAAGTGCGGGTGGAGAAGGAAGCCCCTGCTCCCAAGCCACAACCAGTGATTAAGGAGCATGTACCCCAACTTCCCTTCCCCACTCGCCTACACAAAGACAAGTTGGAGACTGAGTTTGCCAAGTTTATGGCAATATTGAAGCAGCTCAACATTAGCATACCGTTTGTGGAGGCACTGTCGAAGATGCCCAAGTACGCGAAGTTCATGAAAGATCTCCTCACCAACAAGAAGAAACTTGGGGATCTCTCGACAGTGTTGCTGAGCGAGGAGTGTTCTGCTATCCTGCAGAACAAGCTGCCCGAAAAGCGCAAGGACCCAGGGAGTTTTACTATCCCTCTTACTATTAGCAGCATGCATGTAGGCAAGTCCTTGGCGGACCTAGGCGCTAGCATAAATGTCATGCCATATAAGTTGTATAAAAGCTAGACCTAGGTGAACTTAGCCCTACTAGGATGAGCATTTAGCTAGCTGATCGTTCCATTGTGCATCCTAGGGGGATCATAGAGGATCTGCTTGTTAATGTAGGTGCATTCACATATCCTGTTGATTTTGTTATTCTTGATATACATGAGGATGTGGATGTGCATTTGATTCTGGGTAGACCATTTCTTGCCACCGCCAAGGCACTTATTGATGTGCATGATGGTAAACTGATCCTGCAAGCTGGGAATGAACAGACTACTTTTTATGTGACTGGATTCGATCACTGTGCTATGATTGCTGTCACACCTGTGCATGCCATTTCTGATCAGGTACACGAGCCTGTCGTGTATCCTTCTGCACCTCTCATTTTGCAGGACCCTCCTATCATTCCTTCGCCGCCACTCCATCCAGTCTCGCCTCCGAACAAAAAGATCAAGGAGGAGTAGCGGCCGAAGCAGTAGGTTGCTAAGCCTGCACGGAAGAAGGGTGGATACCACTACGAGCTAGTTCAACCCCCTGCACCGCGACCACCCTGGCCATCCGAGTACTCACTCGCCTGCATCTTGTCGGATGGCCAGGTCGAGCTGACCAATGCTGGTGGCTGCACCCGTCGGGTGCATGGCCACAACCTGAAGCTGTACCTCAAGAGCGACGTTGATCCGCTCTTGGAGGCACCTGTTCCTGCACCTCCCTGAGTATCCACCATGGGCGTCCAGCTAAAAGACGGTAAAGAAGCGCTTGTGGGGAGGCAACCCCACCACGGTTTGCATTTCTACCCTTTGTTTTTTTTTCATTTTTTTCGAT